CACTTAAATCAACCTCATAACTAATCTGGATCTCGCACAGTACCATTATCAGTGTTATCTATTTTAAAGATGATGGGTTCACCATTGCATGAGCCTTAAGAGTCTGAAAAATTTGAGTATATTCACCAGTAGGGGTAAGGTCTACCTCTTAGAAACTGGTGCCCCTGCCCCTCTAGCATATCTTCATCCTAGGTTATACAGCACCTAAGGTCTTCATGAATTGACTGACCCTAGTATTGGCTGCATGATCACTAATTGGTAGGATGATAGTAGACCATCCTGTGGAACTATATCAACTTAGATCATGACATTATATGCATGGTGTGCCAAAATATCAGCAAAATGCTCATCAACTCAGTATTCCGTCATACTTGGCAGTCAATAGATTGATGTGATGGTACTAGATAAGATAGGTGGATGAATGAAATGGTAATAGGATGGTGTACCCTCCAAATGAGGTCCCTCCAAGCCTTATCCACCCAGGCTAGCTAGAGATCCATGGTTATCTTTCAGGGTTGATGGAGATCAAATACCACTAATAAGTTGCATTCTCAGTATCATATGCACGTGGGATTGGTAATAAACAGGCCTTAGCTTGAATTCTCTGGATATATAAGTCACCTACCCTACAATGTTGAAGTACTTATATATTCCCTTTTACATGACTGAATAGCAATTACAGTGCTTATATTCATTTGATAGTGATCAAATATCCTGGTCCATTAATACTACTTTTGGGAACCTTCCTGACTGTACTCAATTCATGTATTTCTCTCAAGTAGTTATTGAGATAGATATTCATTAGTTATACATCAGTTATTTATTGGCTAGTGCTGATGCAAGTAATCATCTGCCACTATAGGCGACTTAATGAAAGTTGTCCATATAGTTAAAATGTACAACTTTGATTTTGTGACAATCTATGACATTTTATGATGATTATACTATCAAAGGGTAAAAACTTCCTTATTTGGAAATTTGTCAGGTCATCACAGGTCTTGTAACTAGTGCAAGTTATTATACGTGGATATTTCCTATTGAGGACCATGTGTCACACAGGTCACATAGCCATATTTGATGGAGCACTATTACTGTACTGTTCCTAGAATTATTGACAATTATCCACAGCATGTAGTGACTGACAACTTGCACCAGATATGACTTGTAGGCTCTCCAAGGTCTTAGTACTTGTATTTATTCATACCTCTCCTCAATAATTATTCATTTGTATGGGAACCGAAAAATTCACTGTGGCTTATCAGTGTTATTCTAGCAGGTTGTCACTGATAATTCTCAGTATCTGGTGGGCTAAACAGGTGGCCGACTCCGGCATCCGTCTCCGATATCCGTCTCCGGTATTTGGTTTTTACGCAATGAAGATTTACTGAGCGTTTCCAATTACCCCGACTTATGATCTATGCAATCATCTATGCCTTGTTCCTCGTATGCAACTCCTCTTCTACTTTACTTGACTTTGTTCTAATCTTGTTACTTACTTTGTTATACCTTATTCCGTTTCCGTTACTTCTCGTACTATAAATACTTGATGTATTATCACGTACTTCAGTTTGTAAATTAACGTTGCTGGTCTCTATCTCCCAGCGTCGTCTCGACTCCGCTCTTCCCTTCTTGTCTTGTCTTGGCCAACTGGAAGCCCCGGTCACCCAAACATCCTTCTGTGGTGTTCCGCCCCAAGTGCTCTACGACTTCCGATTCCGTTTCCGACTTCGACTCCGTCTCCGTCTCCGTCTCCGTCTCCGTCTCCGTCCCTCTGGTCGACACGGCACTTAACAGTTATCAAGTCAACTTCTTCCAGATAAGGTATTTTCTGAGTCTTTGTTATCATACTTTTTGGGACTATATCTGATACTAAAAGTTCAGGTGCTACGTTAACCACAGCTTCTAACTGACCCACAAACTGACCCATCTAAACAACCTCATTATTATATTAAATTTTCAGTTATATTTTTGTCAATAGGAATTTGAATTTATCATAATCAAAAGACTGTAAGTATTATAATAAGAAGAGAGTTTTATAGTTAACTATCAACGCAACATTTATCTCATTACCCAGTTTCCTCTTGATCTGATATCTGTGCTGTTTTACTATTATATTTGACTATTAAAAGCCTTGGTTAACCTCAATGTCATCTTTTTGCAGCTCTAAGACTTTCAGGACCTGTAACTAAGATGTTATTATGGTCCCTAGCATATGACAGAACTATACTAGATAGTTAATAACTATCATGATTGTGATATATAAAATAATATTTTATCACAATATATTATCTACTATATACTCAATATATTGGGTTATAACTTAATACTATCCATATCCCAATACAATACAGCCTTGGAGTGTATATGGATAGTAATTAGTTGGAGCCTTATACACAGTTAAAACAGAGGAAAAGACGGCCGGAAGGAGATCGCACGCTCCGCGCAGCGGGCCCCGCGGCGAGCAGAAGCCCCCGGCAGGGTGGGTCCAGGGCGACGCCCTGGTGGGTAATAGTAATGTTCGTGAGCGGGCGCGTGATTCGCTTTCGTGAGATCAGATGGCAACATTCGTGAGATTGATGGCAGCTTTTAGCCGACTGTCAGTTTTCGTAAGATCACGGAACGTCACGGCCGACACGGGTGACATGATCAACGTGACGACGCCCCACCGCTTCTCTTTCCGCAACCACCACCATCTCCCCCCTTCCCCGACATCGCCCTGCGACAGTGAGCCCACCAGCCCGATGGACCGTGCTGCACGATGGACAGCGAGAATAGGGAGGAGGCGGGGTGCCCGGTGAGTTGTGTCCACCGTCATTCACGCCAGCTGAAGCTAACCGGGATAGGCAGGTGGTGGCGTGGAGGACAGCGAGGCGAGGGGAATCGCGCTGAGCGCGGACCGGCGGCTGGCCTTAGACTGGAAGTGGCCCATGGGCAGACTCGGCCTGGTGCCCTGGTCGACCGTCGCACTCCTTCCTTACGGCAGCGCTGCGAGCTCGGTGCCGTGTGCCTTGCGCGCCCGGTTATGAGCGGCGTGTATCGGTCGATCGCGTTGGTGAGCACCGGGCGGTTATGAGCGGCGTGTATCGGTCGATCGCGTTGGTGAGCACCGGGCGGTCCCGGGGCTGGATCGGAGGCAGTCGCTGTGGCGGGCGGTGGCCGAGCTGGCAGCGGAGGGGCCGGCGAGTGGCTCATTAGACTCCGCCTGGTGCCCAGGGCTCGCGCGAAGGCTGCATTGCAGACGGAGGCGGGGGACGTTGTCGGGGGGAAATGGGTGAGTTGTGTCCACTCGCATACACGTCAGCTGAAGCCAACCGCGTTAGGAGGCCAGCGCGCGGGCGTCAAGCTAGGCCGGCGGCTTGCCGCCGCGTCATGGGCAAAACCTCGGGCTCGGCAGGTGGTGGCGTGGATGACAGCAAGGCGAGGGGGACGCGCAGGGCGTGGGCCAGAAGTGGCCCATGGGCAGGCTCGGCGCAGTGCGCCTTGCGCGCCCGGTCTTGCACGGCGCGGATGTGATGCAGGAGGTTGATCGTGTCGGTAAGCACCGGACGGTCCCCGGGTAGAGCGGAGGCAGTCGCTGCGGCGGGCGGTGGCCTAGCTGGCGGCGGCAGGGCCGGCGAGTGGCTCACAGGTGGAAGCCGCATTACAGACGCAGGCTGGGGGACGTTGCACTGAGAGGTCGTTGGGTAGCTAGCAAGTATACCATTGTTGATGCGTAGAACATAGATCATGAATATAGACTCAATTTCTGGCCCTTACTGTAGTATTTTAATCAGTTCGTCAGTCACGCGTCACACAGGGCTCAAGCCGACGAAAATTTTTCGTCAGTCACGCATATCCGGCAGAAATTGGCCCCAAATTGTTCCATATATGGTAATTTTCCGTCCGATCCGGCGCCTCCGGCACCGAAATTCCCTAATGGGGAAGGCCTGACGAAAGTTTAAGTTCGTCGCACATGTCACGCAGGTTGGCAGGTGACGAATTGATTAAAATAGTACAGTATGCGCTGAAAATAAGAAATTTTGGACTCAGTTGATGGGATCAAAGTCAGCGACAAATGCGCTGAGCTCCCCTCCCCCACAAACCAGTCCTCTGGCGTGCTTGGCATCCAAAAGGTAACGCATGGCACTATGATGGCCCGTTGACAGCTCACGAAAGCTGACCGCGCGCCCGCTCACGAACATTGCCAGGGCCCGCCCTGGTCGGGGTCCGGGGTGGAAGACCCCGGCCGTCGCAACCCAGTTGATGCGACATGCGTCGATCCATCAACTCGGGTGATGTGTCGTAACCGAGTCCCACTCCGGGACCTCGGAAATGGGACTGGGACCAGGAAAAGTGGGACTCGAGTCCCATTGTACCAGTCCCAGTCCCATTACTCTCGTATATACTCTCCAATATATGTTCTCTTTTTTCTGGCACCCTGCTGACATTACTATTAGTAATACTAAGTGAGTGAATTAAATTCATTAATGTAGTTATACATAGCCTATGACTCCAAGAGGTTCAAACCCATGCCCAAGGCAAAAGAGAACCTAGCATAACCAGGAGAGACCAGCAATACTCAGAGAACTTGTTATATATTCTGTTGAGACTTGGTTTCTTCCGTATGCAACATACAACTGGGAAAATTCCTTAATTATCTGTCAACATTATTTGTTATGATACTATAGCAAAGAGTGTCTGTTGAAGTAAGCGGGTTGGCGAACCCGAGTCATCGCCGAGAGATGACGTCAGCGGCTGCGCCATCACCGACGCTCGGCGCGTCGGGAATGTTCTCCCACTTTCTATTGACTCAGAATACAGAATATACTAGAATAAAGAGAGTAGTATAAATACTTGGTAGTCCTACTCTAATAAACATCGAATATTTTGTCTAGTTTCTTCAACAGTGTCCAACTGGGACAAATACTTGTAAGGCATGGCTATATAGTCAACAGCCAAAAATATCATCCGTGATCACACTCAGATCTTTGTTACTAGATGAACTTTGATTACGGAATCAACTAATGGTCATGCGAGCTACGCTTGCTGCAGCCACACCCACCCCCGTCCATCGCCTCCCGGATGAGCATCTCCCGGCTCTTCTCCGGGCCGCTCGGGAGCAAGTCGCGCCCGCTCAGGTCAGGCAGATGCCCCGCCGCCGGCGCCCGGCCCGCGACGCCGCGCTTGGCGATATTCGCGGCAAAGATCTTGTTGAGCCAGTCCGCGAGGCGGTACCCGCCCTTGGCGATCTGGAGCTCGACGGTGGGGACGACGCCGTTGTAGTACGTCGGGAAGAGGTCGCCCTGCTGGAGCGCCGCGACGCCGTTGGGCATCACGACGGTGCACACGAGCGCGTTGGCGTCGGCGGCCCACGCGGTCGCGCTCCCGACGGGGTCGGACAGCTTGCTGGCCGCGACCCAGCCCGGGGCGAGCGCCTTGAACGCGCCGGACTTGATGCTTGTCGTGAGTGTGGTGGCCCAGGCCTGCGCGTCGGCGAGGGAGGAGCCGCCGATGAGCTTCTGGGGGATGAACCTGGACGGACTCGATGGGACGAATAACCCGATAGGACGAGCGTACTCACGTGTCCCAGTCGCTGTGCAGGTTGTCCGTCGTGAACCCGTCGAAGGTGACGGTGATCGTGTTCCCGCCGACGTCGAGCGCCTCGTCGTGCAGCGGCTGCGTGATGTCCCCGATGAAATGGACGAGGAACTTGAGCGCCTCGGCAGTGTTGGCCGCGGTCAGCCGCCCGTCGCCCACGCGCTGTGTGTAGTTGGCCACGGCGGAGATCGAGCACCCAGCCGCGGTGCAGTCGCGCGCAAAGTTCACATTGCAGCTCGTCGGAGGGCTGTCCTGGGCATCGATGAAGTGGAGCGGGGCCGACCACTTCCCGGCTGCGGTCGCGCGGAAGGTGTCGGCCCAGGAGGCGATGTTGGCGAAGTACGAAGAGGAGGTGTCGTTCAGCACGCCTTGCGCCCTGTCGGATTTTGTCAGCGACTGGAAGAGAGCGGCACAAACGACGCACCAGGCGGCTACCTCGGGCTCCACAAAGTTCTGTGCGACGTACGCGACCGTCGCGTGGCCGAGGGTGCCCCAGCCACGCACGCCCCGCGCAGCACCCAGCCAGACAACAGCAGCGATGAGCGGTGTGCAGATCATATAGAGCCTGCGTACCCTCCCCTGCTGCGCCGCACCCAATTTAAGCCACAGCGGCCCTCCAACGTGCGTTATCGCCGTTGCTGGGGGCTGCGCATGGTCGCGCTGATATATCATGGGCTCCACATGCGGACGACGCTATGAATAGCCAGCGTTGAGATTAGCCACTGCTCAAACCCAGGCTGTTAGCACTCACGAGCTCCACGGCGGGCAGACCGGCTGCTGTCCCGGACGGACGGACGACGTGGTGACAGGTCAAGCTGCTCACGGTCACGTGTCGCCAAACAAACTAACGTAATGCAGGGAATGTCACTCACTGCGGGAGTTTGGCAATAAACGGCGCCCGTTTCGATCGACTATACACCTATAATCATTGTACCGAAAAAAGAATTTTTTTTGATACCTCTATTTGTGTCCTAAAAAAATTGTCCCAACTTTACTCACTTATCTGGAAAATAGGTGCCATAAACGGGGGCCGGATCAGCAGCGGATTAAAAGCCTCCCTTTTCTCTTCGAATTATTAAGCCAAAACAGACTCGGTTCTTGTCACCCAGTTTTGGGGCACATCAAATGACCATTCGGAGACCAGTTTTTGCATCAAGATGGGGACCAAAAAATATCGACTTATATGATACATATCAGGGCCCTGCATTATATCTTTTGATGCCTGTCTTGATGCAAAAACTGGTCAAAAAAAGGGTGTTTGATATGCTACAAAACCAGGTAACAAAACTGAGTCTGTTTTGGCTTGATAATGGAGCAAGAAAAGGGGGGCTTTTGGTTGAGAGCAGATCCACACACTCGCCTACCCCTCTATGTCTCGATCTTCAGTTTATATTTCATGTCTCATAGTTACATAATTCAGTGCTTCTTCGTTCCCTCTTCCATCCAGCCAGCCTGTTTCTACACCTTTAATTGACTGCTGATCTGGTCTCTGTTTATAGCACCTATTTCTCATTTAAGCAGGTGAATTTGGGACAATTCTATTTGAGTGTAAATAGAGGTATAAAAAAAGTCTTTTCTTGATATATTGATGTTAGGCATATATTTGATTGAAACGGGCACCATTTATTCCCGAACTCCTGCAGTGACTCATCAGGAGGACTTGACAGCTATACATGCCGTAAGGTGCTAGCTGTTTCTACGAGTACAAGTTTTCCCTGCAAAAAGTTAGACAAAATTAAATTTTATTTCAGACTGAGAATTTGAACTGTGCAGCAACCTTTGCCTGGAAAATGTGAGAAAAAAATAAAACTTGAAGTTCCTTACCTATTATTTCTTCAAGGAATAGAGCTTATTAGCAACTCCAAAACAACTCTCGCTTAGCATTTTTCTGGGCCTGTAGGGCACTCTTTTATCTCCCTTCGTCTCCTTTGTACCTCCAGCCTCGGGTAGTGAAAGCTATTTGCCTGTTGGCACTCAATCAGGGGTATGTGGTATGGTCTACAAGCACCGATTTCTGACATGAAAACCTAATCTGGCTTGGCATATATAGTTCAAGGTATATAGATACTGTTATATCCGTGCCGACTCCGGCATTCGATTCCGGTATTTGGTTCTTACACAATGAGGATTTCCAATTACTCTGACTTATGATCTATGCCTTGTTCCTCGTATGCAACTCCTCTTCTACTTTACTTTACTTTGTTCTAATCTCATTACTTATTTTGTTATCCCTTATTTTCCGTTTCCATTACTTTTCGTATCATGAATACTTTGATGTTGTCAGGGGAAACCCTGATGCCGTCACTTGATCCCATCAAGCGCCGCGTCTCCGCTCACGTCTCCGCGTCTCCACTCGCGTCTCCGTGTCTCCACCCGAGTCTCTGTATTCCTGCACCCCTGACGCTCCTCCTCCACTTCTCCCACCACATCCCGCATCCAGTGGTCCCCAACCTCCAACTCCCATGGCCACCCCTTTCTGGGAGTCTCTCCGGAGTCACCATCAAGGATCACTAATGCCATCGGAGACCTCTCCGGATGTGGCCGCACCACTTTCCTCTGAGACCTTGAGCCTATGGCCTTATAGCCTCTCTGGGCTGTCGCTCATCAAGGTCTCCCTGCAACCTCTACCCGTTGGACCTCTTGGGTGTCCCCAACCTATGTCAGCGTTCGGGCTTACGTTCGGATGGCTGAGCCCCGCCATGGCTCCGCCCCCCACTCCGCCACCACGGCCCCCCGTCATCGGGTCTTCCTTTGGGTGAGGCCTACTGCCGTTAAGGCTCGTGCCTACTGCAGCGCCCCAGGCTGCACGCCCTCACACCTCCACCTCTCTGGAGACGTCCGGGGACGTCTCCAAGTGACCCTCCTGTCGCTACCCTCCAGTGGTCATGGCTGGCCGCCATTCCCATTGGTCCTTTCCGACACTCCCCGGCCCTTGGGCTAGACCGACTCCTTCCCTCTCCGCTCCATGCCCCCCTCTCCGTTTCCGGCCGTCACGTCACGGTCACACACCCGGAATCGATTCCGATTCCGATTCCGATTCCGGTTGTCACGGTCACGGTCACAAGCGGAGACGCCCAGAGGCAGTCTGGACCCCCCGAAGCCCTTCCTGGGCCTTCTAAGGATGCCTGGGCTCTTCCCTTGGCATCATGGTCCCAAACCTGTCTCTCCGGAGCTTCGAGGGCTACTCGACACTCACCTAGGGTCCATTAGCGACACCTGACTTCTCCCATGCGTCGTTCGTCGCTATGCAGTCACTCTATCATTACTCCGGTCACTAGTATATAGTAGTGCACCTGAGCAGAGGGCTCCTTGGCTTGTTCTCTAAGGATTCCCCCTCTGCTCAGGTGAGTCTGTAGCGTCCCTTCCTGTTGTAGTAGTTTCACTAAGGATTCCCCCTCTGCTCAGGACTCTGATTTCGAGCCTCGCGAGGTTGCCCTTACAGATGTATTATTACGTACTTCAGTTTGTAGATTAATGTTGCTGGTCAGTTTGCTCTTTTCTGATGAACAGTTGAATCTTGTTTTCTTTTTGCGCTACTTTTGCTTACATTTATGCACCCATTATTACCTTCATTGATTTTCTTTTTAAAAATCCTCTTTTGGATACAAGGTCAAATGTCACAGTCAAATGTCACAGTCACACGCCAAGCGCCTCCTCACTTTTTCCCGCCATGCCAGGCCTTCTCGCGCTCCCCCCCGAACTGCTCGAGGCAGCCTTCTTGCTTCTACCCCTACGCGGACTCATGGCACTGTCTGCCACCAGCCGCTTCTTCCACGCCTTCCTCTTGTCGTCGCCCGCACTCCAGTTCCGCTGGCACGCGCTCTGTTTCGGCGTGGGTGAGGAATACGCACACGGCACCCCATTCGCGGAACGGCTGGCGAGGCTGGTTGAGCGGGAGCGGCGGTGGCTCAACGTGCAGCCGCTACACACTGCCACGCTCGATGCAAAGGGACTGGACCCCGGCGGCGCGTCATTCGGGATGACGACAGCGGGAGTGGTCCGCATCGACGGGTGGCTGGGGGAAGCGCAAGAAGTGCGTTGGACAAGCACAAAGCTCGCATCGGCGGTTGGCGCGGGGGAGCAGAAGCTGGACGGTCAAGGGCTATTGGCGCATTGCGCGTCAGAGGGCGATGATCTGATGGTTTTCCTCGAATGGTACGTGGCCGTGTCTCTCTCTCTCCATCTTTGCGGTGGCTGACGTCTGCAGCACACCGGAAGCCTCCGGTAACCTCTCTATGCGTGTCCGGTTCCTTCAGCTGTCGACAGGTCGTCCCCACCCTGCGGCCGCAGAGCCAACATGTGAATTCCTGGAGTACTTCCGGACAACCCCGCACCTTGACGACATTGACCTCCCCACGGCACTGGCAATTTCAGGCCACGTGATTGCGGCTGTCGTTCCTCCGGACGAGGAGGACCCTGAAACCGAGCCAGGGTTGCTATTCGTCCTCGACTGGAAGACAGGCGAGTACCTCATGGTGCGTGGCAATCTGGACTGCGCTGGCGCTTCTAACCCAGAAACAGAGCCCTTACCGGTGCCCAAGCGCCACCATTGCTTTCCTTCGCCCCGACACCCTGCTCGTCGCGCACCTCCCCTGGAACCGTCTCGACGCGCTGCTCATCCCTGCGTCTGGCGGAAATGCAGCCCGCGTGGCCAGCTTCATGCTCCCGGAGCTGAAGAGCGAAATGGACATGGGCGAGGAAGACACATTCGTGCTGTGTCCGACCAGCGACGCCGCCGACGCGCTGATCCTGCTGACGTACGTCGTCGATCACGTGCCCGACCACGCATATCAGCCGACCGCGCTCCTCCGCCGTGCAGCCCTGCTCGAACTTGTCGACAGCGCCCGCTCCGCCCGCCGCTTTGCCCCGCACGAATGGCTGCCGCTCGCCGCATGCTGGCTCGACGCGGGCCCCGATGTGATCCGCCTCGCGGACTCGGGCCAGCGGGTCGCGGTTTTCGCCGTCGACGCGGTGGCGCTCGTCGACGCGAACCCGTGGACTGTGGAGCTCGTACGCCGGGCCGCAGAGGCCGAGCCTGGGGACGGGGACGGAGATAGCCCGCCGATGTGGCGCCGCCTCGGTGTTCTGCCCGGCGTGGCGGACGACGGGACGCTGCGCACCGAGGGCGGGGGCTGCGCTGCGGCTCGTACGGCCGGGCGCCGCGCCCCGGGAGATCGATGCGTTCCACGCGTTTGTGGACCCGCCCACGCAGTTGGCGCTGGGATACGTCGTGATCACGGCGCCGGTCTTGGAGGGGTCCGCGTTCTTGCATTTGAATAGTGTGGCCGCGGTTGTCGGTGATCTCGTGGAGTTGGACACTGCACATGTGCTGTACTTTGGCTGAACCGCAGCACATTGTGCCATATTTTCCATTGTGGAGGGGATTGAAAGGTCATCTGTTACTTAGACAATAGAGAGTCCTGTTGAACAGTAGCTGGGACAACTTGGTGTAGTATTGGTGAATGCTAACATATAGTAGCGTGAATTTGAACATGAACTAGTAGTATATTTTTCATGTGTATTTACCAAAGTGTACTTAGATAATCTTTTATGTCTCCTATAGGTTTGTATATAGTCAACCAATAGTCAGCAGCTGCAGCCAAAGATATGATGGCCATGAGTGTGATCATATCTTTGGCAGAGTCATAGCCTTTCCAGTGGTTATAGTGCTACAGACTGCTACAGAGACTTGTAGAGTCGGATGAGAGCGGAGAGTGAGGCAGGGAATGTGAATAGCAAAGTGAAGTACAGGAGTGTAAAGTACAAGTATTTATACTAAGTGGTAAACAGAAGGTATATGATGAGCTTGCAGCAATGAGTTCCACAGGATCTCCCTGCAGGATAAGTACAAAGACATAGTAAGTAAGGGAATGTGTTGGAGACTGACGCGCACACCTCCTAATCTTATCCATTACTAATCCAAATCTCATCTTGATCCTGGGCAGAGAGAGCAGCCCCTTACTGCTTCTCTCTCCGACCCAGGTATGTCTCCTTACTCTACATATGAATGTACTACTTACTGCTTCTCTCTCCGACCCAGAATATATTTTGATTAACAGGTTATGGGCCCCGCTTGAAAATCTGCGCAACACTAGTACCATTGACAAAGAAACTACGCACACCGAAAGCTACCCCTTTCTTCGTCTCTCTTGCGCTACAGCTCCCCAACTCGATACTTGCGACCACAAACAGCAACCACGTTTCCATACCAGTGTCAGGGGAACCCCCGCTTCGGCCTCCTTCGGACCCTCCGAACGCATCCGAGGCGCATCCGACCGGCGCCCCCTCGGACGCTCCGACCCACCCCGACCATCGTCCCACGGCCTCCTTCGCCCGCACAATCACCGATCCGTCAAGACCCTCCCAACGATCACCTTGGGACAGAGCCTGCGACGCCGCTCAGGCCTTCTGCGCCTACGTCGGCAGTTACGGACGACCAGTATATAGTTGGCGCCCTAGCAGGCGGACCCTTAGAGTTTCTTCTCTTTGGATCCTCCCCTGCTAGGTCGGTCCCTCCGTGTATTTCCCGTAGCTCTTATTCACGCTTTGGATCCTCCCCTGCTAGGCTTTCGTCGGAGTCTCCAGGGTTGCCCTTACAGCAGAAGAAACTCTCTACGGGATTAACCGGTCAAGATTGCCAGGTTTGGTGCTGACTCAGGCTCGGAGTACGAGTCCGTACCCCCCTCGTCACCGCCCCTGCCACTTGACCCCTCCTCCTCTGCTCTTGTCGTCTTTACGCCCGCTATGTCTACCGGAGCTGCTCCCGGACGCTGACGCGCATGGACGCACTTGAGGCGAAACTAGACAACCTCACCAATCTCCTCACCCACCTTGCTTCCCAGGCTTCCGCTGCCGCACCACCTCCGGCAGCTCCCGAACCGCCCTGGCATCTCCGAATGCCCCCGACGCGGATGCGTTATTTGGTGACATTACTGTCGCCTCAAAACTGGTCTTACGACCAAACCCCCCTTTGCGTTTAACGGAGATCGCAAACCCGGCCGCGCCTTCCTATACGCGGTCAAAACCTACGCTCGGCTTGCCCCGGAGGCCTTCGTAGTTAACGGAGAGCCGAGCGAAGAAAAGGCCGTCCGCTACGCCATGTCCTATATGGCGGAGGGACCTGCTCAGCAATGGGCAGAGCGTCATGGGAGCAAAAACCCCTTCCCCTTCCCTCGGTGGAGCCAGTTCCTCTCCGAGTTTCGCCTTCGGTTCGTCGAGGAGAACGAACAGGACCTCGCTCGCTAAGTTGGAAAGCGCGGGTTATCACATGGGAACGCGGGATGTCTACGGATATACCGACGACTTCGAGGACTTGATGGACCTCGCTGGCTTCGAAGACGCGTTGGTTAAGGTAACCAAGTACCGCCACGGACTTGACCCCCTGATCAACAACGGCATCACGTCTTCGAACGACCCCCCAGACCTCCGTGACTATCTGGGCTGGCGCACTCGGGCTTTCCGACAATATGAGGCCCTGGTGCGAGCGAAGCTCATTAAGGGAACGGCTACCCCGCGGACCGCTTCGGGAGCTCCGCGCGGCGCCTTCCCCATCACTCGTTCGGCAACTCCGTTCCCCATCCGCCCGGTGGCCCCGCCTGTGCCACCCGCGGCCCGCGCCCCCGTCCCGGTACCTCCGGCTCCCGTCCCTATGGAGCTGGATCGTACTAGGGCTCGGGGTGCCCCTCGTCGAGCCTGCTTCAGATGCGGCGACCCCAACCATTTGGCTCGGGACTGTCCGCTCCCCGCCGACGTCCGCCATGTGGACATCCTCGACGAGGTAATCCAGCAACTTGGCGATGAGATGCTGGGAGAGCTGCTTTGCGCGGTTGTCCGACACCGCGGCCTTAGCAGAGGCGCATTCGGAGGCTCCGGCAGAGGATTTTGTCCCCCGCGACGAGTGACTGGTGTGCCCTCGTTCGCGTCCATAAATCGTTTCACTTGTTTGTATGATGAATCAACTCCCTTGCCTTACAACGAGCCTGAAACGAAAGACGCACCCCCTGCCCCCTCCGAAGCCCCCGCTCGGATTCGCCGACTTGCCTGGGAGAAAAAGCTACCTGGCAGCTATACCATCTCTGCCGCTCCTGGGGTTAACTCGCTCCACCTTCCTCTTGAGCTTGAGTCCACTGCGAACGCGCTCAAGCTCTCCCTCTCAGGTCTGGTCGACTGCGGAGCCACTTCGGACTTTATCGACACAGAATACGTCAACCGAAACAACGTGCCAGTCCGAAATCTCTCAGTACCCATACCGGTCTACAATGTCGACGGCACCCCCAATGATGCTGGGTCTATTCGCCAAATCGCGGACCTGGTCCTACGATACAACGGACACTCCGAACGCGTTCAGCTGGCTGTAACCCACCTTGGGAAACAGGACTTGATACTCGGGTACTCCTGGCTCAAAAAGCATAACCCCGAGATCAACTGGGAAACAAAGGAGGTGAAAATGAGCCGCTGCCCCCGAAGCTGCTCCACCTGCCGCGACGAGGAACGGACCGAGCGCGCTGAGGTTCGCCGCCTCCGACTCCTTAAATCGCGCTTGCTTGCGGGCGCCTTCCCCACCGTTTGCGCTATCGATATCGCTGGCCCAGACGATGCCGACGACGAACTTCGGAGCTCCTTCGGACCCTCCGGAGCGCTCACTAGACCTTGACGACGACGAGCATCTTGAAGACGGCGACCGCATCTTCTACACCTCCTTCCGCCCAATCGAGGAGATTCGCTGGAAGCACCGTGTCCCAACGCCTTGCAGAGGCCTTCGCCCGTAACTCGGCCCCCCCGCCTTCGGAGATTCCGGACTGGGCCAAGGAGTTCCAAGACGTCTTTGACAAGGAGTCCTTCGACACGTTACCAGAGCGGAGGGCTTGGGACCACGCTATCGAACTCGTTCCCGACGCGAAGCCCGCTAATTGCAAGGTGTATCCGATCTCCCCCCCTTGAACAGCGAACTTGACGAGTTCATCGAGGAGGGACTTGCCACAGGCCGTATCCGCCCTTCGAAATCTCCGATGGCTTCCCCCCGTCTTCTTCGTTAAGAAAAAGGACGGAGGACTTCGGTTTGTCCAGGACTACCGCGCCCACCTGTAGTTCCCACATATCCTTTCTAATATGAAGTGACGGTATACCTGACCGTCAATTCATATTAGAATGAAAGTATCAAAAAGCCCTGTGCTGCAATAAATGCTGGAAGAAAACTTCAATAATTTCTAGAGATATGACTGAAAAACTTCTAAGTCAGTGGCTGCTATATATGCTGCAGTAAATACCTCAACATTTACCCAAGCATGTAAGTCAGTTCTATCTGATCGTAGACTACTTAAAAAGGAAATATATGCAAAGACCTAATCATTAGTAAAATTTCAGCCCCTGTACAGGCCACTACCTACCAAGTCTGTACACTTTGTTATGTCACAAGTGTGACATAGTTCCCAAAAAGGAAATTTTCGCAGTTGAAGAGCAGAATGATTTGAGAATGTCACAGATTGTCACAAAATCAAAGTTGTACCTTTTGACCATACAAACAACTTTCATTAAGTGACCTATGGTCACAGCTCAATAAATGTGTTCAAACTGTTTAATGAATGGCTAATAGGTAACTGATGGGCCTCTATCTCCATAGCTACTTCAGCTACATACATGAATAAAGTACCAAATGAAGGGTCTCAAAGGTATCATTGATCACTGGGTTTTGTTGATCATCATGATTTAATATGATCATTATATTCACCATTCATTTATAAAAAAGATAATATCTCAGAATCAAAACATGTAAGGTGGTTGGATTGTAAGTTTAGATACTCTAGACTAAGACTCCAGTCTGCAACCTTCCAACCTACCATGCATATGACACTGAGAATACAATGCATTCGCTCATCAGTGGTATTTGATCTCCATCAACCCTGAAAGATAAGCATGGATCTTCAGTTAGCCTGGGAGGATAAAGCTGGGAGAGAGCTCATTTGAAAGGTGTATCATGTCACCATCTCCTAGCCTCTTCAGTCATATTATTTGTCACCATGACCTCAATCTATTTACTGATAAACATGCATGAATGCTGAGTTGAGAGGTATTCTGTTGATATCTTTAGACACCATGCCCAGAATATCTTGATCCAAGTTGGTATAGTTTCATGGAATGCTCCACTACACCCCCACCCAATTTTGACCACACAGTCAGTGCTAGGGTCATTCAATTCCTAGAGACCTTAGGTGCTATATAGCCCAGGATAGGAATATGCTATGAGGGCAGGGGCACCACTTTCTAGGAGGTGGACCATACCC